TAAAAAGCTTCTTTTATATTTCCAAATAGATAACTGTATAAAGAATATTTCAGAAAATAGGCTATCGATAATGGTGAGGATCCAGATATATTCATAATTATCATAGAAAAAGATATTGATTAGTCCTAAAAGTATCGAAACAGGATAATGATGGATGCAGAAATTATTAAATTTGCTAGAAAAAATAAGATGAACCTAAATAATTTATTTTATATAACAAAAAGAGAAAGATTAATAAGTAAAAAAATATATTTTCAGGAGTTCAAAGATATAGAAAAACTCTATAAGTATGTTTATGATGATGAGAAATGGCAAAAATATAAGCATACTCCAAGAAAATGGTATGCTTTAAAAAAGAATGAATAAAAGCAAGACAATAGTATTAGTAGGGATGAGACTTTTTGTTATTTACAATTAAATGATATAAAATTCCAAATTATTATTTTTTTCACATATCCTATCTATCTGCAATTTTTAAATCGATATAAAACTTCTTGATCAGAGCATACTTTTTCAGCTCTCTATTATTTTTCACTGATCACAGGTGAAGTCATCATTTATTAAAATAAATACAATTATTAGAATAATTTTTTTTGAATTGAACTTTTTCAGATATAGTATAACTTAATGGTTAAATATATTCTAATAGTTACTTCATAGACTATAACCATATTATCATGTTCGCAATTATAACAAAATATATTATAGAGCACAAACTCAAAAGAGATGAGCAATGAAAAACTTAGCCAATATGTTCTAGCATTACTTAAGCTTTTGACAGATAAACTGAAAAGAGATAAGTGTTAACAGCACTTCTAAAAAAGATATAATTTAGCAAAGAATAGATGTTTGTATTAGTCCCTGATCAGAGAATTTGTCAAAGTAGAAGTTGAGTAACCCTCAAAGAAGAAGAGGATGAAACAGAAAAAGTTAATATATGCTAAGTATCTGATATCATCCCAGATGGAGAAACTATTAAAAGTATAGCTCAACATATTGTTTGAGATAATTTTAATGAAAAAGAAGTAAAATTGATAGCTAAAGGTTTAACTATAACATCTCCTAACTCTGTCACCATCATATTCCATCTTAGTAGGCTCTGAAGAGAGTTGTAAAAACTTAATACTTTAGAAAAAATAATTTCTGCTACATTAAATCTGAAGGTTACTAAATTATCCAATAAAATCTAAAAGAAATGAAGTAAACAATGTGAGAATGAAAGGCTCTATTTTTCAGATTACTTCTCATTAGAATCAGTTAAGAAAAGATTGGATAAGTATGATATGATAAATACATCTAATGAACAGGCCCTAGCTGATATAATAATAATATTCTGTATTCACCTTGCTGAAATTAAAAACTTGCATATATCTAATGAAAGTATAACAGGATACACAAAAAACTGAGGTTAGCAGAATATTTCCTGAGTATTTAGATCACTAGAAGAGAATGAAGAATGGGCTAAGCTACTTCTTACATAGATTTAGGATGCAATTTCTTCTAGATAGTTGAGAGATTCAGGAGTATCAGGAGTTAAATAGTTTAATACATTTCTGAAAAAAAATGAATTTATTTTTAAACCTTATAAGCCATTATTTCTTAGCTCATTGCGTAATTTAGGATGTGTATTTGCAGTTATTATTACATCACAACATTGTGTAAAGAATTTGTCAAAGACTGATATAATTTCTGATAAAGCATTAAGACATTCATCAGATAATCATACCACTCTAAGTAAGAGATAAACTATAGTAAATTATTAGAAAAGAAGAGAACCTTATAGTCAGACAAGTGTATTCAAGATTTTTGATGAAAACTAATTACATATAAAGATTAGAAGATCAGGATATCATTTATTAATTTTATTTTTTCACTCAAGATAAGATATATTATATATAAAATATTATGAAAATGGTAATTAATCAAAATCATTTATCTGATGTATTCAATAAATAGGAAGTTATTAAATACACAGAGAAATTAACTCAGATATTCAGATTAAATGAACAAAATGCAAAAGTATATAGTGTACTTTCTGGTAAAAATTGAGCATTAAAAAAATAATTGGATAATTATTATTCTGAATATAACACTTTAGAAAGAAGGGTAAAAAGATTGGAAAGAAATATGAGATTCATAAAAATCAAATTAGAAGATCTGGATGAATGTATAGATAGGAAACTGTAGTCAACATAATATATGAAATAGTTTCTTTACTGATTAGTAAAAAAGGTAAGAATTTCTTTTATTCATTTAAGTCTTTTAAGGAGTCTGATTCAGTTAAGACATTTATAGTAAGAGAATGAAAGCTGTTCTTTATAAGTAATGAAGAAAAGTATGACTAAAAAAAGTTAAAATCCTTCGATCAGAATGAAAGCTTTCTAATATTTTATATCAAAAAAATTACTAAACAGTTAACTAATATCCTGCAGTACTAAAGGATTGTATTTTTTTTATTTAAAGATGTAATGTATAATATATATTATTTAGCCTAAGCTGTTAGAGTTGATCCTAAATTTTTTATCAATTAATAAGACTTTTTATCCTATTTTATTCGTTAATCGATTTTGATATTACATTGCAGAATAAATACTATAGAAGTATATTGAATTAAACTATCTGGAGAAATTTTTACGTATATACAAAGACTTAAAACTATTTTATAGAGTAAATGTAAGAAATATCATCTTTCTATTCTCTTATTATAAACTATCAAATAGAGACATAGATAGAATAATAGGTTCATGTCCAAATATAGTATATCTAGATTTTAACACTACATGTAAACTAGCTATCAGTAATACTACAATTATTAATATTGCACATTCATATCCTAAACTCAAACATTTAGATCTCAGTAATAATATAGTTAATAATTCAGCAATCAGAGAAATTGCTCGTTTATGTCATAATTTAAAATTCCTTAGCTTAGAATATTACAATAGTATTAGCAAAATAGTACTAGAAAGCTTGATTGAAATATCCAAATAGAATGGTCTGATTCAGATAGTGATAATGATTCTGAGTCTGATCTAAAATAGTGATCTATCAGTGGATTAGGCTTAGCTAATTTATTTTTTGATTAAAGATAAAATATAAAATACAACAAATCCATTATGGAAATAAATAGCTCTCTTAAAGCAGAAAATACATTTAATTAGTTAGATCAAATAACTCTTCAACTTCACTAATATTGAAATCTAAAAAAGGTAAAGATAACCTAATATCAGTTCAAGATAACTAATTAAAAAATGAATTTTTTGAGACATATAAGGAATATAAGACATATACTTCATTATCAGGTCTAGACTTATATAAAGTAAAGATAAAAAAAGGTTTTTTTAGAAGCCTCAATCAAGAGACAAAGATCTAGTTAGCCTATAAGAAACCTTCAGATCCTTTGAAAAGGTTATCTAAAATTTTAGTTAAATTGGATGTTCCATCTTATCTAAGGTTGCAAATACTATTCAGCTAATTTATTTTTTGTTTAAAGATATAATATATAATACAAATTATTTATAATGTATACAGGAGTTTTTAATATAGCAGAAGTATTAGAATAAATTTTATATTTTTAGAAGTAGACAAGTCACTTTATCCCACTCTATTTGTTTTTTAATTGTGATACAGATACAGTACCCTTATTCTGTAAAAATACATTGAACTAAAGAAAGGTAAAAGAGAAGATTACTTTTGATTGAAGAAATTTATAAAAATAATATGTAAAGACAAAAAGTTAGTCTATAGCTCAAATATAACTCATCTAGAAATTTCACACTACCACTAACTTTAAGATAAAAAAATCAAGGTATTATGTGCTTGTTCTTAAAAATAGTTTATTTAGATTTTAATTTTGCATAGGATTTAACGATAAAATACTAAATTGAATAGCAAAATCATACCTCAATCTGAAGTATCTTAATTTACAAAAGGATGAGTATGTATCTTATAATATAGACGTAATAACTGGTAAAGGTCTATTTGCTATTATCCGATCATTCTATAAATTAAAATATCTAAATATTTCTCATTGTATAGATATTTGTGAACTATCAATTTGTAATGTTATTTGTTTTTGCCTAAGGCTTCAGTATCTCAGCCTTAGCTTTTATAAAATTGCTGATATAACTATCAAAAAATTGCTAGTTCATGTTTCAATTTAAAGTATCTCAATTTGGAAGAGTATGGTAATATTAATAAAGAAATCATAAATCAGCTTGTTTCTCTTAATTCAAATATTTATATTAAGAATTTTATACCAATTTGAGTACCTTTCCTAAATAATAGAGTCTTAGATGTGATCCATGAATTTGCAAAGCATCTGGAGATATCATATGATATATCAAGAGATCATTGTTGGTTATGCAAAAACCAATAGACTAAATTACCATAGGGTCTTTTGGTCTAAATCATTTGGTCTATTCATAATTTGTTAATAGACTATTGAATGACTCGGGTCTATTGAAAATCACATGATTTTAAATAGTATATAAAATTAAAAGTTTATTTCATTGAATGATATATTACTTAAACATATGTTTAACTCATCAAATCAGGAGACTTCGACGATCTTTTAGAGTTTGTGAAATAGTTCGATATTCAAATAGAAATTCAAATTTCAATTGAATCTTATTCACGTTATGGTTGCATAAAGCTCGATAAATTAAAATAATAAGAAATCAATTTTAGATGTTTCTTTTTTTTAAAAAAAAGAAAAATTCTAGAAACGTTACTAATGTTTCCTTTTTTTATTTTTAGGATTTTCAGCTTTTCTCAGTTTAAATATTGTTGAGTATTGGTTTTACTTTTGGTAAACCTTAGGTTCAGGTATTTTTTTTTAAAAAAATTTGTTTTTTTAGAAATGTAGAAAAAACATAATTGAACAATGCAATTACTTTATCGATCAACTATCCCTTATTGATGGATTCTTTTGCGAAAGAAACTGTAGCTATAGAACTTACACAACTAATTTTGGTGGTGACAATTCTCAGAACATAGTTATGGCCACTGTTGGTTCAGAATCTTTAAAGAAACTAATTAATGGTGAAAAAAAAATATCCCTTAATACCAATCTTGTTGATTGTTCCAATGATTATTGAATTCTGTATGTGCTATAGAAAATGGAAAGTTTTGTAATGATGATCAATATGAACTTGGTCTTAACTTTGACATGTGAAAAAGGTTTATTAATAGAGTCAAATTGGAAATTGAGATTTCAGTTAATTGAGACACCTCCTTTAAAAATCTATTAGCTTTACGTATCTAAATAAGGTGTTAGAATCCGCTATATTGCCTATAGTGATTTTCGCTACAAACCGTAAAATGTGTCAAGTCAGATAATAGATTATTTTTATTTTATTTTATTTTTTTTTAAAAAAAATCTCTGAACTTATTTTCTAATATTTTGATAGAGAAACAGATGATATTATTGTACCTCATAGCATCCCAATTGATTTGATTGATCAAATTTTGATCATTCGAATATTATGGATGATATCAGATCAATTGTTCAAATTCGTACAAAAACTGAAGGATGACGATGCTTTAAATTATATGGCTGAATCTGGAGTCAAAACATCTTTGAGGTAATAATTTACGACAAAGTTTATTGTTTAAAAATAATTTTAATTTGTTCGTATTTGCCTATTATTACTCAAAATAATGATCTACTTGTGACTTTTATATATAATGTTAATTAGTAAGAGGGTTTCGTTGTCCATGGTATATTAACCTTAATTTTAAGGATAGTACATTTTTAATGCTTCATCTTCGTAATAATCGTATATAATTTGAAATTTGGTACAAAGGTATTTCATTTCAAAATAATTTTTTTTTTTGATAAATTGATAACAATAATAAATCGATCAGAGGTGCAAACATTTTATAGAATGGCAAATAACCACAATGCGATCGCGTAATTGTTAATTCAAAGATGATCTGTCTGAGTTGGATTTTTTTAATATGGATAAGCACGAAGATATCAGGAATCCAAAACTATTTATGTATCCTGTAAAGCAATACACAACGTTACCTGTGGCATTATTGCCTTCACAAACATTTTATCATTCTCATATCTTCATCTTCATGAGGATGACATTTGTACTCATTGGGTGGAGCTGCTCAACGATGAGGTATATATGCCTACTTTAAATAATAATAATAATAATTATTATTATTATTATTATTCTATAATTCATCTTTGTATCATTATAGACACTTGACGAAATATCAGATGTGAATGAAAGAAAAATGAAAATTTGGAATAGATTTATAGAAATACAAAAGTAACATCAATAATAACTACTATTACCGACACAAAATATAAGCGTCCTTTTTCACTACCCAGCTGACCTATACTAGTATTTCCTTCAACTTTAGTTGATTTCTTTACCACATTCTTTTTACCGCTGAATTTTTTCAGGAGATTTTTTCTTTCTCTTCTCAGTTGACTGACGGGTCTTTTTTATCAGTTGGCAATCGCATTTTTTTTCTTCTAGTTCTTCGGGGTTAATATCCTTTATTTCAAACTTATCAGGCTTTTTACCATTTCCTTTTCATATTGATACCATTTTTCACCTCCCATATCTGTGTTAACTCGACAAGCCCTCCATCTTCCATATCACTATTTAGCACTAAACTGCGAGCTTCTTTTTTTAATTCAGACGAATAAATTTCATATACCTCACTCTTTTCAAAAATTTTCCTATTATTGCGATTCTTAAGTCGTCTTCTTCTTTTTTAAAGAGAATGGACTCTTGAAGCCTTGGAAAAAGTTTTGTAAATCCATAGTGAGGGTACTTTTCAGCATTGGCTTAAGAGCATTATAATTTTTCTTTTTTTATATTTTGTAGAGGGCTCTTATATATTAGAAGAAGACGAGTAGTTTCGGATTGTTCTCTTGAGACTTTTCAAATTTAAGTTTATTTGACGCAATGCGATCCTCTATAATTAAAATAAGGATTATAAAAAAATAAGAAAATAAATTAGATACTTAACATAGTTAATATAATCCATCAGAAACGAATTCTTTTGACATTAACTTAAGAATTATATTATTTGTAATATTTTAATTAATTTAAGACATAAAATAAAATAATTTTTAATGATAAATTTTTAATTTCGAATTAAAATTAATTTAAAATTTTTAAAATAAATAAACAAATAATATTATTAATTGCATATATTATCAACAGAATTTATTATTATATATTAAATTTCAATTAATTCAAGATCAATAACAAATGATGGAGCTTCGAGACCAGTTGTAAATAAATCAAATAAAATCCATTTTGCTTTTGAATCTTCTGCTGGATAAATATTTCTATTTATACTTCGATTTTCAATATTAATTTCGTCCTCATATAATTCATCATTAACCATTTCAATCCAACGATTAATACATGCATCCCAGTCTAATGTTGTCATTTCCTTACCATTTTCTTCCTCTTCATTATTGCTATTATCTTCTTCTTCATCAGAATAATCTGATACCCGAAATGCTTCAAATTTACTAGTATTCGCCTCTGTTTCGTCATTTAAGAACTGTGTTTTATTAATAGAATTAAATTGTGATATTTTTTTGATTTTTGTATATTTCGAAGAACCTTTTGTTTTTGAAGTTCAGCTTGTAATTGACTCATCGCCAATACTTTGTTATGCTTTCTCAATAAAATACTATTAATAAATTAAAATTATTAAATTAAAAATTAAAAATAAAAAAAATAATTACCAATAAACGATTACGACTTTTTGAATATAAATATTTCATATTGGAAAATAGGCGTTCAACGAAGCTGAATTTACACAAATTTCATATATTCTACATGCAATTTTTGCAAGCTTGCTCCCATCTTTTCTTGAACAAAACTGCTAATATTTTAATATATCACAATTAAATTATTGATAAGATATATCGTCAAAAGGCCTTTGTTTTGATTCAAATCTTCAATTTCATTTAATAAATGTTGTGCCGGTTGAGAAAACCATGATTCAAAATAATATTGTAACCATTCAGATAAATCAAAAATAAGATTTGCATATT